AGTGGTGCACATAATCAAGAACAAGAAGGCAACAGAGACATAAGAGTTAGATAGGTTCGGGCCGTCAGCACGACGTAATACCCTACTCCTGTGGTCTGTCGGTTTGTATTGGCTATCGTATAATATTGTGTGTGATCAGATGCCTTAGGCTAAGCCTAGGATCCATATGGGGATGTCGACTAGGGGACCCCTGCCCCTCCTTATATACTCTAGAGGGGTAGGATTACAAGAAAAATATCCTAATCGGTTATATGATAGGATTACAATATTTGTAAGAGTCCTAATAAATCATATCTTGCGGTGTACGCCGACCAGTGCCGTGCGCCGTAAGTCTTGAATCTTGTGGGTTGGACCATCCCTGACCGTGCGGCCTATGTCCCTTGCCGTGGGTACCTAGGGTTATACCCCCCACAGCACACCAAAAGCCGCAGGTGGGTTGACGACGATGCTGACGAGTCTGACGACGACCACCTCACGACCTACCTGGACGTCGCTTGTCGCCCGGCGAAGGTGGTCGCCGCACCCATTGCAAGCGCCTAGGTTCACACCATCACTGCTTTGGTCCATGGTGGAGCTGATCCTGACTGGAAGGAACCTGGCCGAAGGCAGAGGAAGCGCAGCCGGCCGCGTCCATAGCTGCTGCGCGGCCTGCCTCGTCAGCCAGTGGATGGACGCGTTCCTACTCGCCAATGCCTTGGTCGCCATAGACGTGGACGTGTCTCCTCCCCCAACGCCGATGGATGGCGTGAGATCCTTCCCTGGCAGGAGACGGGACCTACGGTCGCCTCTGCATCAGCGAACCAGCGGACCCCTACCCGCTTTCCGGTGGACCTACACGGGAAGTGCTTGAACTGTCTCTCCACCGCACACAGGGTGGCAACCTGCAAGTTGCCTCCACACTGCCTCCTATGTAGGGGTTCCGACACCTCGCGTGGGACTATAAGCGTCGGCGGACGGTACCTCCTTCCAGCTCTGGCTCATCTGGTGCCATAGAAGGCCGACCACGATGACCTATCTGGGAGCGTACCTTGGGCACCCGGCGGTTGGCAGGGGCCGCCTAGACGACACTGAACTTCACCTCGGTCGCTGTTGGTGCTCAGGCGGGGCACGATGGGCTGACCAGCGAGACGGGCATCGTCGAGCCCGACCCGTTGACGCTGACGCTGTACCCGGACGCCATGCATGATCGTGACATCACGGAGGACCTGATGTTAGAGGAGTTCGCAGCCTTGCTCGTTGGTAGTCGGATCATCGCATGGCCTTCCCTTGAGCTGCTGTCGTCACCTACGGCGTCCTCCCCCAGCAATAGGATGAGGCCCCGGCGGTGGCGGCCCCCCAGCTGGAGGTTGAGGACCCAGCAGTGGTCTCATGTGAGCTGCAGACACCACCCCTGCGTCCCATTCAGTGGGCAGTGGACTCGCCGAAGAACGACAACTTCGCCAAACGTCGCCTCGACAGCTTCATCAACAAAGTGACACGTAAGAGGGATTCTCCGCTGATTCGTGAGCCTCCCAAGCAGCCTCCTGCTAAGCTGGTGCTATCGTGGCGGAGCAGGTGGTTGAGAGCTCAGAGCCTCTCCCGAGTACCAGGTTCCAAACGAGGTGAGGTGTTGATCATGCAGTGTATGGGCTACACCAAGGGTCCATCAGTGCCATCCGCGTCAGAGCTGGAGGCCTTTGACAAGCTCTTCGACGACAACCTGACTGTGTCCAACGCCAAGGTGCTGGACGCGCTCTTCCCGGCCGTTGGAAAGGGCTCGTCCAGGCAGCCGCCAAGACGCAAGGCCACCTCATAAGTCGCAAAGCTGCCTCGGTATTGGTTGTTTCCTTCTACGTAATATCGAAACAATATGTCTTTTGCTAGGATGGTCCAGCTTCGGCTGCGTTAGGTCGACCTCTTTCGGCGCTCGATAGAAGCGCGTTGTATGTTTGGTTAAACTCTTCTACTTAATACAATGATACGTAAATCTTTTGCGTATTCGAAAAAAAGTATATTTTCAACGAAATGTCAAAAGCATGTTGCACTCAGACGCTTACAATTACTATGAAAGTAAACAAGATTAAGACACATGTGCAGGTAGCCCTACCTTCATGTCAACCCTTGCTGGCCTGTAATTTCAAGTTACTTTGTCTTTACATGGCTAAGGTTAATTAATTAAGTGGCGGCTAACTTACCATTGGGCATACTAAATTACTAATCAGTACAGTAGGTAACACAAAAGTCAAGGTTTATGGACCACAAGTTAAGATGGTACTCCCTGCAATAAAACTTATAAGTGCTGAAAGAGGATATGGATGCTTGCTTCCTTTGCATGCGTGCACCTTCATGTAGAACTTAGAAGTTAGCACCAAGTGAAGTTAACATCAATATATATACTGAATCATCTTCTCAAAAAAAATATATACTGAATCATAGGTATAGATTGAGAAGCGGAATCTACCTAAGTTGAGAAAAACTTGACGTTTTAGTTTTATCTTAAGTCAAATTGTTTTAAGTTTGACTAAACATTACTACAAAATCGATTTTTGACACTCTCCATTTACAGAGCCGGCCCATATTTATTCACTGTTTCTACAATAATTTTTTCCATGAAAAATTTTCTGAAAAATAAAATTATTTATTTATATTTCTTATCCACATCTCCTAATTAAATATTTTAGGGAGAAGGAAAGGAAAAGGAAAGAAAGAAAAGGAAAAAAAAAGAAAGAAAAAAGGACAACAATGTTACATTGGGCCAACGAGGTCTCTTTCCCTCATCCCCACCTCGCTTGAGGCCTGTGACCTCTATTTCGGCCCAAGAAGGCCCAGGCGCACCCATCCCAGTCCACCATGGGTCCACGCCCTCCCCGATTTGGCCGTTCCTTTCTGCAAGAACGCACCCACGCAAGCCAGCAAGCGCACCGGGGGGGATTGCGGCGAGCGGCGACTGGATCGGTGAGGCAAGCACGGATTAAGGCGAATCCATCCATCCAGTACCCCATTCCAGCCAGGGGGTGCCAGCGCGCTGCGGCCGCGCGGCGGCTGGTCGCGTGGACCGTGGAAGTGGCCGGCACTACGGCATCTGAAGTTCTGAACTGGCGGACTGTGGTGTGCCGTGTGCGCGGTGCGCCTGTGCGCCTGTGCAGCAGGCGGCAGGCCAGCAACATCAGGCAACACCTAATGACGTCATGCCGAAGTGCCCAACAGTCTTGATTCGTGAACTCTGTAAGTCTGTATGCCTGCCCTGTGATTTTCCTCTTCTTACTCACTAGAGTCTCAGACTTATATTTCAGCTAATTTGCACATTGTAGGCGCTAGATGTTGCTTGAAAATGCGCCGCATATTCTGCAAAGTGGGAATGCTCATTTGCTAGTTAAACAAATTAGACATTAATACTCTATATACACATTATTTTGTATTTTCCCACTCTCAAGTGATACTTTATAGAATTCTGTTTCTAACAATAACGCACGATCCTCTGTGTCTTGCAGATTAAACACAAGGAGGCGTAGGCTGTAGCAATTGCATTGTCATCTCTTCAGTTCTGCCTTGTAAGTATCTTACATTAATATTTAATATGTATATAAGCTTGTGTCAAATAGTTATCCAAAATTGAAGAACTTGACAGTGCTCTGCAAATGTTGAAGTTTTGTTGTTTTATTTCTTAGATACATGATGAAATGGACCCTTTAGTACAAGAAGAGTTAAAACTTAAGATGATTATACAACACAAAACTATCAGCAAGAATCAAGAACAACTTATAGCACATTAAGATTTATTTTCAGAAGAGAGATTAACTGTTCGCAAAACACTTCATCCTAAGTATAGTAGAACTGATGTTAGGTTTGATTCATCAAAAAAGGAATGAAAAAAGAAGTAACGTTAGTGACACTAAAACCGAACTATTGTGTTGGTCTAGTACTAGTACGAGGCATAATGAACTTATATTGGTCTAGTACAGATCCTCACCATTGCTTCACTTGAAATAACCACCCCAGAATTTTTTTGGAAGTTGTATAAACGATCGAGAAGTCATTAACCTCAGTCCACTTCCACTCATTCATCTCCAGTATAAAACCGCATGTCACTGCATCAGAGAAGCATTGAACAAGCAGAAGAAACAAACTGAACAATCACACTCACAGGAGCCCAATAAAAACCACGACTGCAGGCCTCTGCAGCTCTGCTAACTGCTTGATGTGCCTACTCATTTTCCCATCCGTCTAATGGTGCTACAACAGTACAACTTCTTAGAAACTTTTGATGGTCGGAGCAATCAATAACAAAGATTTCTTCGCCTCCCTTCACATCTGCAACACTTCCTCTCCCGTTCATCCGTATTGGGTCATCTCTATGTATATGTATACTCAACTATAGTGCAACATTGGCTGCAGCTGGGCGTGATTTATAGTTGTTCTCTATCCAAGGAGGCAGGAGCGGATCCCCTCCATGCCCAGGTGCCTCGGCTGCAGATTCATCACCCCTCCTCGGTTGATCTATTGTTGTCCTGAACACTCTTTTCTTCTAATCGATGGCAAATAAATAATTTGGCACCGCAAGTCAGATGTTTTCCCACAAAGAAGGATTTTATTAACTCTAGATGATTACATCGAGAATTATCTAGAACCCATTCTGGCCTCTACAAAAAGTACACAGCCTAAACCAAAAAAAAAGAGAGAGAAAAGCCTGACAACCTAATGACAATCAATCTTGAGCCTAGATTCTGACTAATATGTATATTGTTATGCTCAATAGGGTGTCAAAGTACATAGTACACTACCGACATGGAACCTGCATCAATTAGACAAGGTAACGAAGCTAATCATAGTTCCTAATAAGGCGAACTTTGTTTCATGACATGTTTACTAGTTCTGATACATAACAAACACAAAACACTAGCGAAAATGGGAGATGACCCACGGGCAAATTATTCTTAAAGTAAAAGGCCATTCAAAAGAAATTAGGCAAAGGCCATCATGCTCTACTAGTATGTGAGCAACAAAAACAACAGCCCTTTTACTCAGCCATGTAGCACTGCAAATGCTTCTTTGATTGTGATGACTTCAGCGTAGACATCCTGCATTGTTGGTCGATCTTTCGGGGTCTCCATAGAGCATGAGAGACCGAGTTTAACAAGAGGCATGATGCAGTGGCTTTCCACGGCAGCTGTTGCATTATTTCCGTGGTCCAAATTGTTGTCTGCATCACCCTCTCCAAAACATGGAACGATACAAGGATCTAGAACATCACCAATCTTTTGAGGAAACGCATTTTCCACAAATCTATGAAGGTTCACACCATCAGTAAACATCTCATCTGTTGGACGCTTTCCGGTGAGCAATTATAAGATGATAATTCCATAGCTATAGACATCGCCTTCTGTTGAGAGTGTGTTGCTGAAGCCATACTCTGTAATATGTGTGTATGTGATCAAACAATTTTATCTATTAATATTGGAAAAATCATAAAATAACGTTGTAATATAGTGGAAACATAAAACATGAATAATTAAAAACAGAAAAAAAAACGGTTGTGATATTTACGATGTCCAGTTTTGAGGGAAAAAGTTTTCACCTGGTGCAATGTACCCAATTGATCCTCTTGGTCGCAGTAAGCTTGTAGAACTTTGATGGCATGAATGACTGGAACTTTGAAGAAATTTAGCTAACCCGAAGTCAGCAAGATGTGCACCCATGTCATCATCAAGAAGGACATTGCTGGGCTTCAGATCACAATGGACTACAGGAGGCATGCAATGGTTATGCAGATAATCCAAAGCAGAAGCTATGTCCATCACTATTGTTATTCTGGAGCCAAAACTTAATGATCTTTCCAATCCATACTTGTTCCGATCAGGATAGAGCCAGCTCTCAAGGCTACCATTAGGCATATATTCAAGAATAAGAGCTTTGAACTGATGTCCTGATGGATCAAATGTTGAGCATGCAGTAATCACCCTTACAAGATTACGATGACGAGTGTTCCTCAGTGCCTCACACTCAGCAAGGAAGTTTTGGCACACCAAGTTGATTGACTTTAAAAACCTTGATAGCAACTGTATGTTCTTCAAACTCAAATCTACCTTTGTAAACTGATCCAGATTTTCCTGAACCAATCAAGTTGTTTGAGGAGAAATTATTTGTTGCTTTGGCTAAATCAGCATATGAAAACCTTTTCAATTCCCTGCAGGATGAATGAGCTGCCTGTCTGACTTTCTTCCTCTTCAAAAAGATGGCCACTATGCATGCTAGCAGGAGCAAAGAAAGAGCACTAAATCCTAGCACCTTCAGAATTTTAAAACCATGGTTTTTTTCTGGAGGCCATTGCATCACAAAGTGGCAATGCTAGCAATGGGGTGCTCCCACATAAGTTCTTGTTCCCCTGAATGTATACCACACTTTTATTGCGAAAGATCCCACCAGTGGGTACTGGACCTTGGAGGCTGTTGAACGACAAATTGAGGAGGATCAAGGAGCTGAAGAACTCAAACAGTTCAGGTATTGCTCCAGAAAGGTTATTTCTGGACAGGTCTAGCTCGATGATGCCTCTCAATTCGGCGAATGAATTTGGGATTTTTCCTTCCAGAAGGTTCCCTTCCATGTGGAGGGACTCCAGGTGGACACACTGTCCTAGAGTGGAGGGAATCTGTCCAGACAGCTGGTTATTGGAAACATTGAGCAGACTGAGATTGATCAAGTCACCAATCTCAGGTGGTATCTGTCCGGAGAGTTGGTTGTGGGACAAATCCAAGCCATCAGAAAGGGATGAAAGAGTCAGCAGCTGCTTTGGTATGGCACCATCAAGGTTGTTGCAAGAGATGTTCAACATTCTCAAATTTTTGCAGTCACCAAAAGCACCTGGGATTGGACCACTGAAATCATTGTCCTGTAAATAGAGCTCACTTAGTTGACTCAGGTTACTGACTGAGAGTGGAATTCGTCCAGAAAGCTTGTTCTGCGATAAGCTTAGTTGAAATAAGCTCAAAAGATTTCCGACTGCATCTGGGATGCTTCCGGTGAACCGATTGCTCTCCATGTGAAGAACAACAAGGTTTGTGAGGTACCCTATCTCTGGGGGTATTGTCCCAGATATATCATTTGCTGCCAACAGCAAAAATTGCAAGCTGTTTGGAAGGGCACCAATGGAATTTGGCAGTGTTCCTTGGATTCTGTTTTCTGATAAATCTAACATGACCAGCCGTGTGCAATTGGCTAGTGAGGATAGGAAAGACCAATCTCCAGCTTCAAGCTGGTTGGTGCCTAGACTTAGCTCCACCAAGTTGGGAAGCGAGCCCAAGAAAGGAACAGTTCCATAGAACGAATTGTATTGTAGATCAATCACCGTAAGGTTGGTCGCATTCGCTAGTGAAGCAGGGATTTTACCATGGAATTGGTTCCCTTCAAAGATCAATTTTTTTATGCTTGGGAGGGTGTACCCAATGTCATGTGGAATCTCCCCCACCAAGGTGTTCGTGGCAATGCCAAGGTATGTCAGAGCTGACATATTGTAAATGGAGGCTGGGACGGTTCCTGACAAGAAGTTGTGAGTCAGGTCCAATGCTTTCAGGTTTGGTATTTTACCTATGCTCGCTGGGATGCTACCTTCAAGATTGTTGTATGCAAGCAAGAGCCTGACAAGGGAAGATAGGTTCCCTAGTGAAGAAGGTATGGCGCCTGAAAGATCATTGTTTGTCAGAATGAGAATCTCCAAGGGAGACCCAGCGTGCGAGACAGGAGGTATTGATCCCACTAAGCTGTTCAACCCAAGGCCTATTGTTCTAAGTGATCTGCTATTTAGCAAGGTATGCGGTATCCCTCCACCAATATGGTTGTGTGTTAAGTCAAGCAGCTGAAGCGATGAACTGTTGGCTACACAAGACGGGATTGATCCGGTGAGGCTATTATTTGCAAGAACAAGATCTCTAAGAGGAGATTTGCATCCGAGCAAAAGAGGAATCTTTCCTGTCAGATTGTTTCGGGCCAGATGCAAAACTGAAAGATTCTGGAGCATCCCCAGACCTTCAGGGATGATTCCACTGAGGCTGTTCTGCTGCAAGATGAGCTTCTCAAGATTCAAGAATTGGCTCAGGTTTGGACAAATCTCACCTTGGAGAGAATTTCTTCCAAGATCGACGATCCGAAGACGAGAACATGAAGACAGTGTGTCCGGGATCACCACCCAGATAGTTCGAACTGAGGTTAAGGTACTGCAGCCTTGGTAGTTGGCCAAGCTCATGAGGAATTGGGCCAGTAAGGTGGTTATTTGGGAAGTGGATTCTTTCAAGGAAAGCGAGATTGGCACTACAAGCAGGTGTTTGGCCAGTGAGCCCGAACGAGTCGAGGTTCAGCGCGACGACACGCTGACTCTTGCTGCAGCTAACACCAGCCCAAGCGCAAAATCCGAGGGAATTGTTCTTCCATGAGGTTAGAGACCCTGCAGGGTCATCAGAAAGATGGGACCTGAGGCAGAGGAGGGTTTGGAGATCATTACTTGGTGGCGTTCCTGTTCTATCATCAAGTGGTAAGGCAGGAACTAGGAAGAAGCTGAAGATGAAGGATAGGACAGTGGGCAGGAGCACTGACGCACTCAGGGTTCCAGCTGCCTTCCTGGAGGAGCCATACGCCATAAATATGTGCTATATGGTAAAATGTTATGTGCGGATGGCGCCTAGCTTCTATATGCTGCATTTATATAGAGGCTCGAAGGAGCTAGTTTAGCGAGAGTCTTGTATCCGCAGAAGAAGCATTAGATAAATAAGCGCTTGCTTCATAGATCGAGTAACAAAAGGCTATGTGATGGCTGAATTCCGCGCATTGACTGCTGCTTCAGCTCATCTGCGCGGACTATATGGACTGCATTGTAACGGTATGCATTAGGTGAGACTGTCGATCAAGTCACAGTTTTATAAGGAAGTACGGAGTATATTGTTTTTGTTTGTTGTCACAGCATCAGTTTGTCCGACTTGTCAATTTGCGGGCCCCATATTATAATTAAGGCTATGGTTAGTTCCCCAAATTTCTGAATTTGACACTATGCAAAAAGAAGATTCTCCGTCACATTAAACTTGCGGTACATGTATGGAGTATTAAATGTTGATAAAATCAAAAATTAATTGCACGGTTTGGTTGTACTTTGCGAGACGAACGTTTTGAGCCTAATTAGTCAACGATTGGACAATTATTACCAAATACAAACGAAATGCTACAGCGCGCTACAGTGTAGCTATAATGTTTTCGGCGGCGCCGATTCGGGTGAACTAAACATGGCCTAAGCATATCTTAAACTCCCTTGCTCTGACCACACCAACTAAGTATCTCACGAATTAAAATTTAAAAGTTATAAGCAATCTTGAGATTTGTCGGGTGACTGTGCGTACTGTTAGAATTTATATACGAGCTAGTCCTCGTCCTATATGTAGAAATTCTAATAAATCTCACAGGCTCATTGTCTGTGTTCTCTAATGGAATTTAATGATTAAGATTACAAATGGAGGTGAAAGATGGACATCTAGAACTAGTCCATCATTATGTGCTCTTGCAAACCTTAGAAGATATAATCATTAGTTATTGTTTAATATTTTTTTTAATAAAAATTGCTCTCTCTCCGTTCTAAATTAAAAGTCGTTCTGGTTTTTCTACATACATAACCTTTGCTACGCACCTAAATGTTCATTATGTCTAAATACATAGTAAAAGCTATATATCTAATAAAGCTATAAGAATTTATAATTTGAAATAGAGCGGGCACTTATTTTTATTGTACATTTTTTCTCTTTGTTTATTAACCCAATTATTATATACGTAATAGAAAACGGAGTCCGCTTGGTTTGACCGACGCATTGGCGAGTCGCAGACGCGATTCATGTGGTGCCCACCCAGGAGAATTGACCAAATAAGACGATGAAGAAAATATTGGTTATTTTGGTATAGTATATATAAAAGAAGATTAGCTAGAGCCGTGAGACTTTGACCGGTCACTGCTATTGACATGCTAACCGTCGTCAGAATCCCAAGTCCATTCAATGACCCTATTCGCAATTTGTCAAAAAAAAATGACGCTATTCGCTAACAACACGACTCCCGGACCCGGAGCCAGGCAAGCAGCATTGCAGCTTCCTCCGCAGATGCACCACATTAGCCACGCATTAGGGACTTTAGGGTGTGTTTGGTTGGGTGGCTAAATTCTAACCAAGCTCCACAAAGCCACTTTTATGTTGTTTAGTTGCCTGTTTTGAGCCTAAAGCCAGGCTCGAGGAAGCCATCAACTACCCTCTAGCCAAGCTCCAGAAAAATGTAGGGACGAACATTTTTTTTTTGAGGCTTGGCTTAGCACTGGTGGCCCGTTCTCGTCATCTCCCACCTCACCCACGCTCACCCTCACCCACGACGAAACCACCGGTGATGGCCCTGCTCACCTCCACCAGCGGCGGCCCTACTCCCCTCTACATGAGGAGTTGCTAGCGGGCCCATCAATGTTAGGTGCATGCACTCCACCCGCTAACACCAGGTTGCACAGCTGAAAGGTCCTAATATGGCTAGAGGGGGGTGAATAGCCTATTTAAAAATCTACAAACCAACTAGAGCAATTTGATTAGTATAACAAATAGCGAAATGCAAATTTGCTCTAACTCTACAGAAGTTGCAAGCCACCTATCCAACAATTCTAGTTGCTATGATCACTAAACACATAATTTGTTATGTCACTACTCACTAAGAGCTCTCACACTTGCTACACTAAAGAGCTTCACTAGATGAACTTAAACTACAAAGCAAGCTATCAATTCTAGCTACACTAGAGAGCTTGCTACAACTAGTTTACAAGAATATAAATGAGTGAGTAGGGTGATTATACCGCCGTATAGAGGAGTGAACCAATCACAAGATGAATACCAAATCAATCACCGGGAGAATACCAAAGGGCAAGAAACAACCAAATTTTCTCCCGAGGTCCACGTGCTTGCCGGCACGCTAGTCCCCGTTGTGTCGACCAACACTTGGTGGTTCGGCGGCTAAGAGGTGTTGCATGAACCTCGTCCACACAATTGTACACCGCAAGAACCCACCCACAAGTGAGGTAACTCAATGACACGAGCAATCCACTAGAGTTCCCTTTCGGCGCTCCGCCGGGGAAGGTACAAAATACCTCACAATCACCGCGATCGAAGCCGGAGACAATCACCAACATCCGCTCGACGATCCTCGTTCCTCCAAGCCATCTAGGTGGCGGCAACCACCAAGAGAAACAAGTGAACCCCGCAGCGAAACACAAACACCAAGTGCCTCTAGATGCAATCACTCAAGCAATGCATTTGGATTATCTCTCAATCTTACAAAGATGATGAATCAATGATGGAGATGAGTGGAAGGACTTTGGCTAAGCTCACAAGGTTGCTATGTCAATGCAAATGGCCAAGAGAGTGAGCTTGAGCCGGCCATGGGGCTTAAATAGAAGCCCCCACGAAATAAAGTCATTGGCTCCTCGGTCCACTGAAAAAACGGGGCGACCGGACGCTGGACCCCAGCGTCCGGTCGCGCGATGTGTGCCATGTGGCCCCTACTTCAAACGCTAATCGCCCGATCTCAACGGTCATCAGTACATTTAAGTTGTGACCTGACGCGCTGCTTGAAAGTGACCGGACGCATGACCTCAGCGTCCGGTCGTTTCCAGTAAGCTTTCATTCGCGAAAAATCCGACTGGACTCACCCAGCGTCCGGTCACACGGTGTCTCCTCTGTGCGCTGCCATGTCAGCAGGACCGGGCGCACCCCGTCAGCGTCCGATCACTAAGTGACCCAGCGTCCGGTCGAAGACCAACGCCAGCGTCTTCACGTCTCCACTGACCGGACGCTCCGGTCCAGTTGAGACTAGCGTCTGATGCACTTTGTGAACCCCTATCTTTTCTGTATAGGGCGCCGGTGAAGTTTCTTACCCTTGCTCCCAAGTACTAAACACAATGTGTATCACCTTTGTGCATGTGTGTTAGCATATTTTCATAAACATTTTCAAGGGTATTAGCACTCCACTAGATCATAAATGCATATGCAATGAGTTAGAGCATCTAGTGGCGCTTTGATAACCGTATTTTGATACGAGTTTCACTCATCTTAATAGTACGGCTATCAATCCTAAATGTGATCACACTCACTAAGTGTCTTGATCACCGAAACAAAATGGCTCCTACCACTTATACCTTTGCCTTGAGCTTTTTATTTTTCTCTTTCTTCTTTTCAAGTCCAAGCACTTGATCATCATCATGGAATCACCATCATCATGTCATGATCTTCATTTGCTTCACCACTTGGAATAGTGCTACATATCTCATAATCACTTTAATAAACTAGGTTAACACTTAGGATTTCATCAATTTACCAAAACCAAACTAGAGCTTTCAATCTCCCACTTTTTGGTAATTGATGACAACCCTTTAACAAAGATATGAATTGAAGTTTAATTGAATCCATGTTACTTGCCCAAGCATATTTACCATGTGTAAAAGAATATGGACAAGTTTCATGAACTCCAAATGATAGCAATTGCTCCCCCTACATATGTGCTAAGAGTTTGGATTGTAGCTTGCATATATGCTTAGATAGGAAATATATGAGATAATTTCTACCAAATGATGCTAAAGTATAAGAGATGGACTTTTGAAGCGTAATACCAATCGGAGTGCACCAATATACCATCCTTAGCACCATTAGTAACTAGACATACACAAAAACTAGAATACCCCATGAGATCAACATTAGAAGTAAGGGTCTAGTTTTCATAATGTGAGCATGAGTCTAGTTACTTAACCTATGCATGCTAGTTTTTTGTTTCATCATTCAAACCTATAACTATCATACACCACACAAGCATGGATATTGAAATTTAAGACTTGTGCTATGCAAGCAAATATATGAAACGCACAATCAATATGCAACATACAAGTTTATAGGCTTGCTCCTTCTACTTGTGTGCAATTTTTTATTGATCCCCTTACAATGTTAAATTTTGATTGCTTCCCCTATCTTACTATCTTTGTGAATTTCTCTCCCCCTTTGCCAACAATTAGCACAAAAGGCGAGCTCATATTTTAGATAGGTTGGGGTGAAACCATGTGAAGTGAGGATCATTTTTCCAATTTGGTTCAATCTAGATCACTTGCAGAAGATATTTAACTCGGTTTGATCCAAGGACAAGCTTTTTCACGCCTCTAAATAAGGGTTATCTTGTACCATGTTGAGTTAAACACTTAGAGCTCATTTTCTAGATCAAACACTAGGTTTACAAGCCCATAAACATGTCATATGCTACCACTAGACCAAATTAAGCATAGAAGCAATAGTGGTACCATACAAGCATCAAATTCATTTGATTTTCATGAATGAGCCTATTTAAATGTGAAAGATGTCTAGATGCACTAAGCATGTCCTTAGCAAGGATGTATGACATGTCAATCAACTTTACCTTGCTTTGCTCGAAGTAGAGGCATGTCATATAATGGGGGGGGGGTGCATCAACACATATTGGAGAAGTCAAGTATATTCAATTCATTCCTTAGTTTGCAAAACCTCTTCTCATCAAGTGGCTTGGTGAAGATATCGGTAAGTTGATCTTCGGTGCCCACACTCTCAATGCAAAC